AATAAGCAAATGCAAGGAATATTTCTGAGGCATACCTCTAATCTTGCCAAGATTGTTCCACAAAGGCCTTTGCAGAACAGAGGGAGAGAGAGACATTGGCTTTGCATGTGGAGATTACGTGTAGACTAGCATGCAACATTTTCTTTAATTTCAGTTTCCAAGAAATGATCTGATGATTCATTATATCAATAATTATGCTCAAAGAGGCATTTTCATTCCAAGCTCCTATTTTCAGGCACTTATAACTTTTGGGTAAAATTACCATTTAGATGGATAGTTTTCATGAATATTCTGAGTCTAAAGGAGATTTTTTCGTGGGAGGAAATAAGTAGCGCTGTGAAAGGGGCTTGGAGGGCCAACAGCCTGGGGGTTAGCACACCCAGCTTTTGGCCCCTTCCACCTCTGTCCACGCAGTAGAGGGGACTGTTCCTTACCTTAAGCCAGGATCTTTGGCTTTCCACCTGCATCTGGCCTTGGCCTTTAAGGGAGTGTGGTAGGGAGACCCAGGCCCTCCCTCTGGCCCCATGGGAAACAACACTGGCAGCAAGTCCAAGTTCATTTCTCTGGGCCACTTCCTACCCATAAGTCCTTTCAATTTGGGGCATGTAGTCCAAGTAGTCAGCTGCTTAGCAGAAAAAGGGTCCAAAGAAGCAGAGCCCTGCAGACCCCCTGGTTCTCAAAGTGGGGGTGGGTTGGACAAGGAAGGCACTATCTGTGGGCCTTACCCACTATGTGGTCCCCTCTCAGCTCAACCTCTCTCCTGCAGCCTGTCCTCCACCTGGTCTTCTGAACTTCCTCTTAACCTGCTCCTCTAGTCGGAGCATGTTCGGCAGGCCCAGAGATGCGGGGCTCCTTGGTCCAGGTATTGCCTTTTAACCCCTTGGGGCTCAGTGTGGCACCATCACAGGCACTCACCACAGTCAGACTGTTTTTCCACCATGGCACTCTTAACCACTTCCAGTCTGGCTGGTGTGGTATGAGGATCAGGAATTGTATCTATTCTTCCCATATGACAGGGCAATACCACATTTTCAGCCAGCCTCTGATTTTTTCTGTCCTATTTTGCAAAAGGGGGTTGCATATATTTTTATAGTCACAATCAGTTTCAGTACAGAAATGGGCATAAAACAAGGCAGGCCAAGACTGAAAACATATTTATATTGTAGATTCACTCATCAAATTAGCTGAAACCTTTCAACCAATGTACGTGAGTGGAATGGGGGAGTAGCATTTACAAGAAGTGGCACTTCATCCAATTTAACATGCTACAAAAACTGGGAAGAACAGCAAAAGCAAAAAAATGACATTCATCCACGTAGAGTGTATGCATGTGTAACCCACATACTTTTATACTGTGTATATGTATGTACTGTGCGTATGTGTGTGTATATATGTAATGTATTGTATAAACATTTTAGTAGCCAGCAGTTGTGATATATATACAATCAGTAAAGCAACGAAGAACAAGATCTATACTCATTACTTGATTTCTGCACAGTTATATAGTAAGAACATGAATCTCCTCAGCTTTCCAAAATTGAAACCTCATATTCATAAGTGCTATTCCCGCTGTGACCTTACTTGATCATAGATCTCATATGTCTATCCAACCAGTCAGAATGCAGTCCCCCTAGACTCTGATGAGGCAGAGAACACCATATCTCTGCTTAATTCTGGTGTTTCATTTTTACATTTAAATATTCAAGAAATTGTTGAGAAATGTCAGTGCAATATTTCTACTATTCAAGTATTTTTTAACAAACACCATGTCTTTTAAAAAATTGCTGCCTCTGGAAGAGCAGTGATAAACTGGACTAAATGTCCATAAAATTAAGTCAATTTTCTGGAGTGAGGTGAAAAATCTGTTGTATACAAAAGGAAACTGTTATGCATTAGGAGATAGAAAGTAGTTATCCTTTCACAATGGCTTATTTTTTCCTATTTGTATGCTGCGTATTTTAAAAAAAAAGAATATGTAAACACAGCTGCATTCTGCAGTATAGTACTTCCAAGCAAAGATGATTAAACATGACACACACACTTCCGTATATTAGTTGATGCCAAGGACAGAATGAAAATGCAACACACTGGTATTGGAGAAATCAAAATAATTTTCTTTCTGTACAGTCTACAGTGTTTAAGAGAAGAGTGCTATTTATTTATTTATGGCTTCTTCTCAAGAATAATTAGGTCCCAAATCAATAAGGAAGCTAAATACCTTTAAGAGCATGCCTACGTCCATCCCTATTGAAAAAAGCATTTAAGCACATGCTTTAGTCCCATTAATATCATTAATGACGTTTCCTTCAAAATTGAAGACAATGATGTTTCCTTGAATTGCACTAGCAGTGCATTAAGCTGAGGCTGGAAAACATAGCTGGAAAGTGGCCTGAGGCTGCTCTGGGCTAGCAGAAATGTATAGGATATATAGAGATGGATCCAAGCCACAGCATTTAGATGTGGATTCAGATTTTGAACATTCGCAAATTCAGAAATGTTCGGATATATGGTTTTGGTTTGGCCCAAATTTAGGTCTGGGTTTGAAGTTGAAGCTCCTACTTTTCAAAGAATTGGAGTATTTGGACCCAGGGATTTGGTGCAGGCCCATCTCTAATGGAAAGCCTTTACACTAGGTCTGAGTTACTTGACTTCCTTATCCTGGGATATGGCGCAGCTGCTTTGCACAACATTGCAGGCACAGTCTGGCCCTAAAACTGGTGTAGCTGGGTAGGGTGGGGGAACCACCCCAGCAGAGGGGGATATGCCTCTGGTATATATCTGGTGTGGTGGCTTCTATGCCACATATATCCAGCTGCTGATATAGAGATGTGGCCAGTGGCAAGGAGATATGACTGAAGCTTCCCTACACCTTTCTGCTCTCCATTTGCTGTTCTTGAGGCCACCGGCAGCTGACATAAGATAGAGCTCATGTTACACCAGAGCTGACGCACAGAATGTAGGATACAACATCCTCATGACCTGCACTGTGTAGTCCTGGGCCACAGCCAAGGATCTTGGCCACTGTCTGTCCAGAAACATCCTTGCCAGGCTTCAGAGGTTGACTCAGTTGTCTCTGTTCTCTGTTCCATGGTCTTATCGGGATCAAGATAGGGATACCCCATTCTCAGTTCCTGGTCCCTGCCATTGAACTGCCTCTCAGACTATGTCAGTGTTGTTGTAGCAATATTGGTCCCAGGATATTAGAGAGACAAGGTGGGTGAGGTCATATCTTTTATTGGGCCAACTTCTGTTGGTGAGAAAGACAAGCTTCTCGAAAGCTTGTCTCTCTCACCAATAGAACTTGGCTCAATAAAAGATATGACCTCACCCACCTTGTATTTCAGAGTATGTTCACAGAATCCCTTTGATAAGGTTTAGTGGAAGGCTTTTTCTATTTGGGTCAGTTCATTTTTGACTGGTTTCCTTTCAGTTGTTCACCAGTTCTTGCTTTTAGTGGCATTTCCTCCTTGTTTTTTGTTGGTGGGAGTCATATGAGCAAATTAAATATGACGGATGAAGAGGAACATAAGTTCACATAAGAAAAAGTCCTCTGAATATAAGTATGTGACTATATATGAGTGTGTATAACTAGAACTTTTCAGCACACACAAATGAGTCTGCAACCATTTGCAGCTGATTTTCTCTTTCTTGCAAAACACTTATTGAAATGATTAAGCCTATTTTTGTGGAGTATAGAAATTTATCTTTGTTTGCCATTTTCTCTCTTTCAGCTCTTCTTTATGCAACTATTTTTGGAAATGTCACCACCATTTTCCAGCAAATGTATGCCAACACCAACCGATACCATGAGATGCTGAACAACGTGAGGGATTTCCTCAAATTATATCAAGTCCCAAAAGGCCTTAGTGAACGAGTCATGGATTATATTGTCTCAACATGGTCCATGTCTAAAGGGATCGACACAGAGAAGGTATGAGTGCATGAGGTAAAAATCCAGATATTGTACCTTTCAATCCATTGTGTCCTTTCCAGTAGAATAAACAGTACTGAGTACTGTAAACGCGCTTGCAAAAAAGATCTGAACCACATGTGAGTCTATTAATACTTTCATAGTTGTGTTCAGAGAGAGGGCGCTGGTTTAAAATTAGAAAAAAAATGGAAACATTGGCAATTTTGAAAGTGTGTTCTGTTACCCTGCTTTTCAATATGGTCTGACTTTCCATTTTCCAGATTTTCCTTGGAATTATTTTAACTTTTTTTGTGTTTTGGGATTTGAAATTAACAAAAACAATTTTTGAAAAAATTGAGAGGGTGGGGAGGAAGAGAAAAATCTCAAAAAGGATACCCTTCATTTTGGGGGGGAAAAACCACATTTGATGGGGCTGAGTAATCCAAATTGGCAATACAGAAATAACAAATAAAAAATACTGAAACCCAACAAAACATTTCGCAGAGCAACTAGAAGGCTAAATATTTTAGTTCCCAAATTTTTTGTAAAATGGAAAATGTACATTTCATTAAGCATTCCACTTTAAAAAAGGCCATATGTCAGCAATTTTATTCTGTTAAAAATATATCCAATAGCTCTTTTCATACATATTACACATACTAGCACAAAACTATCCTTTACTCACTTTTGTAGTTCTGGTGCTTGCCGATAGCATAAAATATAATAATAATATAGTAGCAGTAATGGAAAGAGAATCAAAATCAGTGTATCATTGTGGTCTGGTTAAAAGGTGAGTAGCAGAGCACTGATTGGCTCAGGAGATTGATAACTGGATATAGATCTTTTCTGCTCTAGTTCCTGATCCAAAGCCCACTGAAATCATTGGGTGTTTGGACTTTGAATCAGGTCTTAGGTCACCATTTGGAATCTGGCACAGGTCAGTAGTGACTGAAAGTTGTTACCCTCTGAGGGTTTCTTAGCATTTATGAAATGAGTTCAGTTGCCTTGGACCAGTTCCCAGTGGACGGAACCATAATTGCTACCATCACAGTTAGCACAAGTTTTAATAGACACGAGACTGATCTCTTTGAGGTGTCCTCTCCAGGCCTGGGCTGAAGCCCCTTTGGCAGGGAAGTTTGGGAAAGCTTGTGTTCCTGCTAGTCATTTTCTACCTGCTCCATAGATTAAGAATGAGACTAGGGGTGAGATCTTCAGTTGGTGTGAGTTGGCCTAGCTCCACTGACTTCAGTGGATTTATGCTGATTTACGCCATCGGGGAACTGGACATTAAGTGTCTAGTACTGAGAACTCTAAAGCCCACTTGACAGAGGAAAAGTTGTGATAGAATATTGCTGTGCTCTGCTACAGTTCTTATTTCGGTTAACTGTATTGCACTGTGTGGTAGGTGTAATCTGAGTTCCACCAGAACCTATCTCACTATAACATGACAAAATGGAATTATTGTGAGAACAAGGACAGCTTTAAGTCTTCTTATAAACCCATACAATGTTAGTTATCGAACTAATTAACCTGAATTTCACAATTAGTAATTAACTTCCAAAACTGTGCAACTTTTGTGTATTATTATTGTTATGTTAACTGATAAGGCTTTCGGTTTCTTGGATTCTTGTAGTTCAGTATGCCTGATTCTTTAATATGTTAATTTCAGCTCCATTTATACAGTGACATTCTAACTTCCAAATGTGTTCATACAGTTTGTTAATAATAAATTTGTTGTAATTGCTGTAAATGGACTCAGTTCTGCTGTGAAAAGCCAAATATGTGTAAAAATTCAATTTTCATTCTCATTTATCTCCTTTCAATTATTTCTGCTGCAGTTCCATTAGACTTTGATTGTGCTTTGCAGTTAATTAGAAGAACCTTTGCTTTAATTACTGAGATTTCCTTCCATTATTTCCACATATCCAGTTTAATAGATTGTAAAAATGCAGTTATAGCCCATAAACATCCTGATCATTGGCTTTTAGTAAGCAGCGTTCACTTGTCTGCATAGTAGTAGTGGATGCTTAGCTAGATAATTAATAAGGCCATAAAATCTGTGATTTAGGTTTTTAACAGTATTCCCACACTGGAGGCCTGCCTAGCGTAGCTCCTGATCTAAACACCATTTAAGTCAATGGAAAGACTCCTGTTGAATTCAGTGGCTTTTGGATCAGGCCATTAATGCTTTTATGTAGTACAGTTTTTCAGTTAAAATATTTTATTGACAACCAGTGAGAGAGTAGCTATAAAATGGTTACAACTTTTAAAATATTCCGTTACACAGCGTCCAGCAAAGGCTATAAACCTTCAATGGCTACTGCGCAAGTACCTTGCTGTGACTGCTGTGAGCTGCATTGAAGCAAATGGGGGTCTTCATGGAGGCAGCAATTTGCATGCTGTCAACTGCATGATCAGAGCCAAAATTCAGATTTCTTATGGGAAAGATGGAAAGCTGTGTGTAGGTCATTGGCAGTCACATGACCCATCTGAACTTTGAATTCTGAAATGAATTATGAAACATCTCAATTATAACAAATGAGAAAATGTTGTATTTCCTAGTTGGCAAAACTAAAAAATACAGCAGTCACATAGACTAGATCCTTTCCTTTGTGTTCGGGGTGTATTTAGCACTGTACAAACCACTTAAGGTAGGAATGTTTAAAAAAACCATTTGGGAAAAATCATACGACTTCTGTATTAAAATTTGTGGGGAAAAAAAAACAGGTCACACTGCACCACGTCATAGAATTTTTATTTACTGTGTGTGCAATACACCAGTCACAATGAAGATAGGAAAATATTGCACCAAGAGATTCAGGAGCTGACATCTTCTAAAATAATGTGTCTCCAATTCTCTGGGGCCTGGTAACTTTTCTATGCTGGAAACTTTTCCATCTTTTGATCATAAGCTTGATTTAATCCTGCAGTAGAAATATAGACGAGAAAGAAAAGAACTGTTATATTTGTTGGTGCACCTCTGTGCCACAGTAGAATTGTTCCCAATAGTACATTTCCTAGTTTTTATATCCAGTCTGGTTTTAAAAATCCCTGGTGATGGGCTTCAACCAACCCTGGGAGACTAGCACATCCTAATGTATCTCACTGTAGGAGAGTTTTTTAATTAAATTCAACATATATTTTCCCTTTCTTAATTTCATCTAGTGCTCACTCTCCTGTCCAGGTGATCAGTAATCTATCCCTAGAGTCATTTCTCCTGTGTTTTTCATTCCTCACTTCCTTCAAAACCAAATATATGTCTCCAGCACATACATCTAGACTATCATTATGCATAGTATCTCCCATACTCCTTACATTTGGGTAGACATTTTAGTATATTACTATATTTCTTATTCTTCAGCAAAGATTTCTTTTAACTGTGCAAATAATTAGCAAAAAACCTCTAAACTTTGGCAATTGTTAATATTTATGGATGGTTTTCTTCCAAATAAGTATCATTACTAGAGCTGAGTGAATAACAGATTTTTCAGTTGGCTGGAAATTGCAAAAAATAATAAAAATAAAAAGTAATTTCAGCTTGACCACAATTTTCTTTAAATTTTTGGCCAATCGAAATGTGAAAAAAAATTGATTTTGGTCATGTTTCATTCTCCCCAAGATAAAATGTTTCATTTAGATTTCAAGCATTTTTAACGTGTTTAAATTTTAAAATAAAATGTAAATTAATGTTGAATGGAAAGGTCGCTTTGTATTGAAAAATTGAAACATTTCATTCAGATAATGTCAAAATGAAGCATTTTATTTTTTTCATATTTTGTTTGTTTTTATTTTCAACCAAAACAATTTGGCATTTTTGATATGAACTCATGAAACTTTTCAGCGTTGCCAAATCTGCATTTTTCTCCCCTGAAAAAAGTTTCAGCCAAACAATTTCATTCAGCTCTACTGACTACATCTTCATTAGTTCGAAATAAATATACTTTATTGCTCCCTTTGCATTCACGTGTGCATTATGATGTCATTTCCCCCCCATTATTAGGATACATTTCAGTCAGTCAAGCATGCAGCACAACTCAGCACATTTAAATTATGTTTTCTTTAAATCAAATACAGTGGGTAGAACAGCTCACCTGTTGACCCTAAATTATGCAGTTTTTTCTGGTGATGAACAACTGTATTGTATGTAACTACAGGCCAATATATCATGATAAAGTCTAGTAGTTTTTGTGACAGCTAAGGTTTTTAAAAGAAATGTGCTTGAGACTAAAATATAAGTAAATGCCTTTGCTGGGAATGCTATACCTTTAACAAATGTGCTTTAATTAATTGTTACAAATATCATTCAAATAGTGCAGTTAAATATCTATTCTTAGTTATATATGAGATACTAGTGTTTAATGCCATTGAAGATCTCGCTCAGACCAACAACAAAGAAGAAATCCAGAGAGCTTAGTGTTTGGTTCTTGTGCAGATACACAGTGTGGGCAAAGTGAAGGTTGACTAGATGTTACTCATCTCCCCAAAGGGGGCAATGAAGAAAAGGGCCATAGATCCAGAACTGGCTGCCTTAAGTAAGTAAGTAAGTAAAACCCCTCTCAGATGGCCCAATCCAATGCCCATTGACTTTGGTGTGTGATGGATCAGACCCCGAACTTCCACACTGCAGGGCTGTGCCTTAAAGCAGTGGTTCTCAACCAAGGGTCTGGAACCCACTGGGGGGCCACGAGCAGGTTTCAGGGGGTCTGCGAAGCAGGGCTGGCATTAGACCTATTTGGGCCCAGGGCAGAAAGCCAAAACCCCACCACCTGGGGCTGAAGCCCAGGGCTCCAAGTACCACCAACCGGGGCTGAAGCCGAAGCCTGAGGAACTTAGCTTCACAGGGCCCTCTGTGGCATGGGGCGCCGGGCAATTGCCCTGTTTGCTACCCCCTAACGGTGGCCCTGGCTTTTGTATACAAAAAAACAGTTGTTGTGGCACAGATGGACCATGGAGTTATTATAGCATGTTGGGGGTCCTCAGAAAGAAAAAGTTGAGAACCCCTGCCTTAAAGGACCAATCTA